TTTTTGTTTGATTAGCAGTTTGATTCATTTAATTGTTTTATAACAGATTAATTAATTATTATATCAACTCATTGCTTGGTTATTTATTATTTTTTTTTTGATAAATAGTTATTGATTAATTGTATTTTTCATCTATTTTGTTTTCTAATATAGATTTAAAATTATAAATAATTTCTGTCTGTCAATGACCTATGCACATAAGTTTACTAGCATGGCAGGGCTGTGGACTAGACTAGTTCAGTAGAACTATTTTCACAGTCCTCATCAGATTTTTTATTTTATCTATTTAATTACTTGTATTTTCATTTTTTTTTCTGATGAAATAAACATATACAGTTTGTTTGTTTTTTTTATAAAAAAATATGGTTCCTACAGTTACAGTTTGGTTACAGCCCAAAACAATAAAAATTCCAAAAAAAAATCTTCAAAACATTCTTTCCAGTGAACTAACTAACATGTTGCTTGAAAACAGGAGAAGTAAAACTCTTATTTTAGCATAGGGCTGTATAGAAAAAGTATGAGTCTCCAAATGTCCTGTATAGTTCAATTTTCTATCCCATAATAATTCTTTGCAAAATCAAATATGCACATTTCTTCCTTATATTAAGGGGACATTTTTTGTCACTGTTGTGATCAATATAAGCACTCCTATGAATAACCCTTGATCAAGATCTGAAGCCAATAGAAAATTACCGGTATGTCTGTTGAGTACAAAGTTATCCGAAAAAATCAATGCAAAAATATATAACAGGCAAAACGTTGCATCCGCATTTTGAAAGGAAAATTTTACTCAAAAATATGTATTCTGTATTTGACATATAGTTCATTCGACAATACATTTCTTTGTTGAAGTATATAAATTTGGAAATAAAAATTCGTAGGAATTTGTTTCAGCTATTAGAAAACACTTTATAGCTTTTATAATACAAATTTAAAAACACTTCAATAACAAAGATTGAAGTGTTTGAAGATGTACATTCTCAGTACTGTTGATTTCTCTCTCCACTGGACACCAACTATTTTTAGATTTTTAGAAACACATGTAACAAAATATGTTATCTTGCATGTTTTACAATTTTGTTCACATCAAAATGCAGTACTTCTTATTCTGAGATGAGGTATTTAATTTTATACTAAAATATCTGAATTACTTTGAATAAAACTGGAAATAATGGCCGATAAAATAATTAAACAAATTAGGCACCAATGTTTTTGCAAAATATTTACATCAAAAGGAAATAATTACATAAATATTTACATAAAGGAAATAATATTATATAACAAAGGGCAAGGTCATCAGAGTTTAACTATGTTTGTGATACAAATGTAAAAATTTTTAATCATTTATTGAACATTTACAAAACATGGCTGTCAGGCATTTCTGTTGTTACCCCAGGTTTAGTGAACAAACTTCCCATGAAGCTTTGTCTTAGCACAATTTCACACAACTTTTTTTAAGGGCAACCTGACTTTTTTTTTTGCATATTTTTGCTGTTACTATCAACCTTTTATTGTTCAGTGCATGTAGTTGGAGGTAATGTTACAATATGAACAAAAACAGGTTTATACATGTAATTATGTATTTACTGACCAGACAAATTATGATTGGTCAGACAAATCATTAATCATCAAGAATTGTATCTTTCCTCACTTGTTACAGATCATTGGAGGCCGCACAGCACAACATTTTGGTGGTAAAATCACCTTAGGATTTGCTGTGGCAGTATGGTCCTTGGCAACTTTTATGACACCATTCATTGCACCGTATCTCGGACTTGTCATTATGTCAAGAGTGCTATTAGGGTTTGCTGAAGGTTTTTGCCTGCCAACTATTTACCACATATTCTCGCATACAATCACTGCAGAAGAGCGATCCAGGTCCTTTGGTTATTTAGTGGCAGCAGGATCTGTAGGCCAGACCATTGCTGCTGTTGTAAGTAAATTAACATATTTACTATTGTAATAAAAATTATCATGATAGATAAAGATTTTATTTAGTACCAGAATCCATCAGAATTTAATATTCCAACTAGCTGAAGTTACACCACACTGTATGCTATTACAAAATATACAAGTTTTTTTGAGGATGTTAAGACTTGACGAATGTGTAAGTTCATTGAGTTGAGAATTCCAGAGTTGAGGAGCAGTATGGCAAAACTGACTGCCATACATAATTTGTTTCTATTTTGCGGCTTTTAGTCAGTTTATTTTTGCAACCTTCCAATTGAAAGACAATGTCTGTTATCCATGTCTCATTCCTCATTGTGCGCATACTTATTTCTCATTCCACAGTGGAACATTAGAATATGGTTGCTAGTCTAAATTTATGCAGTGGTCACTCACACTGTTTTTTGTTTTATATAAATTTCGTACAGTATTTTTGACTTCCCAAATGATATAAAATGAAAAATGGCCTTTTCTTGCAGTACATGTACATTGAAAATACATTTTCTGAATGATTATTTACTGGCATTAGCTACATATGCTGCTTGTCAGAAATTTGAGTTGTGCCACACTATCGTTTAGAATTTTGTTTGCATGAGACACGTAGAGCTACGTGGAATGGTGAACTGTTCACATGCATGTATCCAAGTTGATCATATAACAATATTGGTCTTTAACCTTTTCACCACCGGACTTTTTCGTCCAAATTTCTCTGCACTTTTTTTCTTATATTCTTCAACTATAATTATGGAGTCAACAAAGAAGGGACTATTTTGTGAATTTGTGATGAAAAGAGGGAACTGGTGGTGAAAAGGCTAAAGCAACATTGTCATCACATAGTATTTATTTGTGCATACTATGAGGACGTAAAGAGTCAAAAAGACATTTTACGGAACTATGCTTGTGAATGATATTTATGATAATTGGGCATGACACGAAAGCACATCGATAGACGCTTATTTGCAATTACTGCCACTGATGGTTATTAATTTAAAATCGGCAGAAAATATTACTCTTAGCGATATTTCTTCAAAATAAACTTTCAATCATTATTGTCCTTGCAGTATACTAGTAATTGTTGTAATTCAGTCTAAAATTCTCGTATCGAAGCATTAAAACAGTACGGCCACATGATTTGGTTTTCTATGTGTTGAGCGCACACATACTGACATTTAATGTTCATGTCACAGTGTTTAGTGTGAATTATCAACAACTGGTAATATTTCACAATAAACGTCAGTGCTGTGAATGATGTGTAACCTTGGTCATATGATAAATGTACAACACAGTGTAGAGATTTAAACCCATTATTTTGTATAATTACCGTGCATCCTTGTGTTTTCCAGATATGTCCCAGATTTCCTTGGCCAATGATGTTTTACAGTTTTGGTATTATTGGTATGGCGTGGATAGTAATATGGGTACTAATGTTCAAAGAAAGTACAGCTGAGGGTGATACTGAGATGTTGCTCTTGCCCAAGGTAGGAATGATACTTATAATAATAATTACTTACATTTAATATTGTGTCATCAGCAGACAGAGATTTGAACAATTGGCGCAAGTCCATCAATACAATTCTTGTGAAGGTGACAGGTCAAGGGCTATATCACTAACTCAAATAAAACTCATTGAGCTAACTTGATTGTCAGTATGCCTACCAAAAAGACGTAGGACAAATACTTAACTTGAATTTTTAAGTTAATGGTCTTAATCATCAACTATGGTACAGAAAATTTAAATGACATTCTAATTGCTGAAATATAGCCAATAATATTAATCACCATTAGATGAATCCAATTTGGGGGGTTGAACACCAAAGAGGAGGTCGACCCCTGCCTTGGTGATTGTGTCACAGACTTACTGGGAAGCCAAAGCCACTAACCGAGATCTATTCACTAATGATTGCAACTTAAAGGGAACCTTTGTTAAGGTCCGCAGCTGCTTGTGTTCTACCAGGCCTGGTTGACATCAGGATAGCACATTCAATTGTATTATGTCTTTGTAATAGGACGATGTTCACACAACCATGTCACATACCGGTAGTCCCAAACATGTGATGTGGTTTCCATAGCGAATCGCGGTATATGCACACACAGTAATTGCATTCCAATTTGGGTATAATACCTATCACGAATGACAACAGTGACGTTCAGAGTCAGGGACTGTTGCAACTTGAAAACATTTCGTTGTAGTTGAATGAATTCTGTAAAAATTAAATTCATAGTAGTGTGAATGTGTGATTTATGTGACATAATGAGTCATACTGTATGCATGGTGTAAAGTGTATGCATGCTAGTGTTGGTAATGTACTATTATATCTAGTTTTTGACTCCCGTGTGCGAAGCACAAAAAGAGAGTCTTTGCAGTTAGTGTGTCTGTGTGTGTGTGTGTGTGTGTGTGTGTGTGTGTGTGTCTGTTCCACTGATATCTCAAGAACCATACATCGGTTTTTGATGAAACTTGGTGCATAGATGCTCTGGGCCAATGCGCAGATTTGATTAGGTTTGGTAAAAACCCCATGCATATTAATTACCTAATTTGCATGATAATTAGCTGATTTTTAGCGGTTCCATGATTGTTCATTGGATTTTGATGAAACTTGGCACATAGATGCTCCAAACTAATGCGCAGATTTGATTAGTTTTTGGTAAAAATCTGTGCAATGTTAATTACCTAATTTGCATAATGATTAATTAATTTTCGGCTTTTCCACTGATATCTCAAGTAGTAATCATCACATTTCAATAAAACTTGGTACATAGATGTCATAGGACACTGCACAGACCTGATAGTTTTTAGGGTAATATCAGTACATATTAATTACCTAATTTGCATAATTAATTAAATTTCAGCTTTTGTATTTCAAGTAGTAATCATCACATTTCAATGAAATTTGGTACATAGATGTCATAGGACACTGCACAGACCTGATAGTTTTTCGGGTGATATCAGTACATATTAATTACCTCATTTGCATAATTAATTAATTTTCAGCTTTTGATATTTCAAGTAGTAATCATCACATTTCAATGACACTTGGTACATAGATGTCATAGGACACTGCACAGACCTGATAGTTTTTAGGGTAATATCAGTACATATTAATTACCTAATTTGCACAATTAATTAATTTTCAGCTTTTGATATTTCAAGTAGTAATCATCACATTTCAATTTGGTACATAGTTACTTAGGGACTGTGCAGACCCCTGATTAGTTTTTGGGTAAATATTTGTGCATATTAATTACCTTATTAGCATAATTAGTTAATTTTCAGCTTTTTGCCTTGTATCTCAAGTACTAATCATACTATTTCAATGAGACTTGCTACATAGATCTTCTAGGACTATGCAGAGACCTGATTAGTTTTAATTGGATATTAATTACCTAATTTGCATAATGTTCCATAATTTGCATAATGGATTTTAATGAAACTTTTAAAGAGAACTATGCAGAGACCCAATTAGTTTTTGGTAAATATTTATGCTTATTAATCACCTAATTAACATAATTAATTAACACTGATATCTCAATGACTGATCATCACATTTGAATAAAATTTGGTACACAGATGCTCTAGGACAATAGACAGGCCTGATTAATTTTGGGTTAAAATCTGATCATATTAATTCTCTAATTAGCATAATAATTCATAATTTGTTTGTTCTATTCTGTTCATATTAGTTACCTGATTTACATAATTAGTTTTCAGCTTTTCCATCAATATCTCATGTACAAGTAATTTTAATTAATTTTTAATGTATCTTCAATACTCTCAGCACACGGGAGTTCTTTCTAAGCTTTCTTTGATTGCTATTTCTAGGTGGACACACGACACTCAGCAACTTGGAGTGCATTTATCATGCATAGAGCTTTATGGGCAATATACTCTGCTCACTTTGCTATGAACTGGTCAAATTATATCATATTGTCATGGTTACCAACATATCTTACACAACTTGGTGCAAATAAAAATGATATTAGTTTTACTGCTATACCTTATATTATGAACTCTCTAGTTGGAGTTGGTGAGTATTTTGTTTTTACTGCTTCTTAATTCCATGCTGAATGTGATCAATGTTGATTCCTAAAAAAAATAGCTCATAGAATTAAACCAGATGAGGAAATGCAGTTCTGGAACTTAGAGATTGTTGACTTGCGTTCTGTTTGTGTATCCTTGCATTTGAAGTCATTTCTTGGACATGTATTGACTAACATCCATCAAACGTTGTAAAAAACAATCAATACATAATGTCATAAATAAAATTCATTTTTTGAGAATTTGATCAAATATGGAAGATCGGCGACCATTTTGGATATAAAATTATGCTTACATTCTAACTCTTGAGCTTGTCCATCATGGATTCTTGACGACAATTATTTAAATCAAACTACCGGTAGTTATGATGATAGTACATATGGCATTGCAGATACTGATTCTGATTCACAATGTTTGCAATTTCTCTATACTGCAAATGCCAATTGTGTTGGTACAACATAATGTATTACATCATAAGATACATTTAAATACCATGTAAACAACAAACAATAAGTTTTATGTATTGGATATACCATTGCATTTACAGGTACTTATGTTTTGCATTTTGTGCATTGTTGCAGTGGCTAGTTGACAAGATCCAGTTATTCGCACCCAAAAATAAAACAATGTTGTAGTTTACTGTTGTTAGATATACATTTATGTGCTCTGTTTTAACAAAACAAATTTAAAAAAAAAAATGGGAATGCTGTTGCATCAGATCTTGATCAGTAATTGAAATTTGTAACCAGACATTCGCCCATTCACATACTGGTTCAAATAGCAGAAATATTAATATCCTTGTGTGGTAATGGCCTATACATTGCATTGGAATTTTGGGAATTTGATTAAACTTGACTTGATGTGACAACCAGATTCTTTAAATGACTTGTTTTCTTATAAAAACAATGGCAAAATATTTATTTTTTTATTCAGCTGCTGGTCATTATGCAGATTCCCTGATATCTAAGAGACAATGGACCCTATTATCAGTAAGAAGACTGATGTCAACCATCGGTTTGCTAGGACCGGCTGTATTTATTTTGTTATTTGGAAAAATGCAAAGTGTCCTGTTAGCTCTCTGGTAAGTAGATATTCTTCAATGTATGATTTACTATGGATTCTTAACAATTCTTTTCTAATCAACAAGGGTAGATTCTATAAATAGTATGGTTTTTCGTCTGCTTTCAGGCCACTAAGTATTTCAAAAGTAGCTGTAATTTTGCATCAAAAAATAAAAAAATACACCACTGAAAAACAAGAATTATCTTGTGATAATTATGACCTTATCTGTGATTCCTAAAAGTCATACATCCTGCTATTTACTGGTGGTGTATTGGTCTTATAACAGAATAATTCCAAAAAAATATACCAGAATTTGTTGAATATTTTTATCCTCTGACATAACCTAGTCTTGGGAGGCTTATGGATTGCCTCCCGACTGTTCATCCACCTGTCTCATTTTCTCAGAAACTCATAGACCAAATTTCTCCAAACTTGGCACATAACTGATACATGATAGTATACATATACTAAAAAATACATGTGTAAACTGAGAACTGACTTCTCAAGGTAGAGTGAACTAAGTGAGTATTGATCACCAAATCCGGGAGGAGAATAACACACTGAGAGGAGCCCTTGTAACCAAGATGTTTATTACGACAACTGCTAGGCCTGGAACTGAGCCTAAGAACTCACTAGATGTTCCATACCATGTATCAATATAATTACACAAATAACTTAACTGAACGTCATAGACTCAAATCATCACAACACGTATACATGTCAAATATGTTTTATTTTATTTCAGTTTTGTGTCAATCTCTCTTGGGCTTTGTGCCTGTAACTCTGCAGGCCACATGAGTAATCACGCCGATGTGGCACCAAACCATGCTGGGATAACGTTCGCCATTTCAAACACCCTGGTAAGCTAGAACCATCATTAAAATTTTCTTTGAATCGTATGTGCTATTCTTCACGTTATTCATTCTAATAACGAACTCGTTCAAAAGCAGGTTGAAATATCTAATTGCTGGAAAAACGTATAATATCCATCTGTTTGTTGCATACTGTAAATGCATTAAGTATTCACTGGATTTTAATTTCGCTATTTTCGCTGATACGTAAAAATACGCTGAATCAAATCCCCATGATCATGTACAATAACAATAGAATTTATTGTTTCCCTGCCAAGTTTATGAAATTAAAACCCAATGAAATAGCTCAAAACATCAAAATAGTGAAATTAAATGGTTAAACAGTATTTACATGTGTTTTTACATAATCAATGGGGTCTGCTAGCAATCGTCAGTAAAGTCTGATAAAATCTTCAAAAACCAATGATTTAATTTCAGCTTTCATACCTACATCAAGATTTATGCAAATTAATTTATGCAAATTATCTACATGCATCAATAACCATATAAGACACATCCTCTCTTACAGGCCACTATCCCAGGCATCACTTGTGGGCCAGTCACAGCAGCTATTGTAAGTTACACTGGAAGTTGGTATCCTGTGTTTGTTATTGCTGCCTCTGTCAATCTTGCTGGAGCTCTCATCTATAACAGCCAAAGTTCTGCTAGTCAAGTGTTATAGTGTCCGAACGCACATATACATATTATAAAGCACATGAATGTAAGAGTTAATATGATCACCCTTCTTTTCATATTACCAGTTAAACTAAATTTGTAGCTTTAGCTGTCTACATGTGCCAACTAAATATTAATTTTATTAGTAAGATTGTGCTTTAATTTACAATTTAGTAGTGTGTATACTTG